CTTAACTATATTGGAAGATTGTAGATAGTTTAGTACAGCAAAAATGATTATACAGGGTGTCCCAACAGTTTGGTAGCGGTAGGCTAAGCGACATTATGCCTTTGTTGTGGGTAGTTGAAATAATTTTTCTAGGAAATTTAAAGCCACAATTTACAATTATTTTTAAAGTTTCCACACCAATATTTTTTTTAATGAAATACCCTGTATACCTTTTACGTAGATTCTTTACGAAAAAATTTAAAAAACGATCAGAAGTAAGATGAAAAATGGTCAAATATAGAAATTCACAGTTCTACTAATTTTTAAGTCGTAGGTTTTTTATTAAATACAGGGTGTCCCATTTAAATACATAATACGAAAATCCAGACAATTCGCCGATTTAATCACCCTATTTTAAATCATTTCATTCAATTTTTGTACGTTCCTCAAATACAAAGTAATTAAAAAATTGTTTTGGAAGTTGCAGATCGCCATTTTTAAAAATGGCGCACTTGAGAAAGTCTAAATATAATCTTTTTTACATACAAATTTAAATATCTTGAAAATGTCTATTAAAAAACTCTTGCATAGTATCATTTTTCCATTTTCTTTCTTTTTGACTTAACTAATTTGGAAAATTACAGATGATTTAGTCCAGCAAAAGTTTCTATACAGGGTGTCCCAGCAATCTGGTATCGATAGATTAAGCGAGATTATGCTTATCGTGGGTTACTGAAATAATTTTTCAAAAGTATTTAAAGCTATAGTTTACTATTATTTTTAAAGTTATTTTTTAATGAAACACCCTATATATTTTTTACGTAGAATCTTTATGAGAAAATACAAAACAAAATTAAGACGATAAGATGATTTTATACAAAAATTCACAGTTCTACTAATTTTAGACATAAAATACAGGGTGTCCCTTTTAAATAATATGAAAAACCCGACAATTTGACAATTTAATCACCTCACCTTAAATTATTTCACTCAATTTTTGTATGTTTATCTAGGCAAAGTAATTAGGCATTTCTTTTCAAGTTTCAGATCGCCATCTTTAAATATGGCGGACTTTAGGATTTCTAAACATGATTTTTTTTACGTATAAATTGAACTATCGATTAAAAAACTCATGCATTGTGTATTTTTTTTACAGAAGAATATTACAGATAACTTGGTACAGAAAAAATATTATACAAGGTGTCTTAACGGTCTGGTACCGGTAGCGGTATATTAAGCGAGTTAATTTAATTGAAATTTTGTTCGTTCCAAGGCAAGGTAATAAAAAAGTTAAAAAGTTTTTTTGAAAGTTTCAGATAGTCATCTTGAAACATGGCGGTCTTGAGAATGTCTAAATATGATCTTTTTTTAACATAAAATTCAAATGTAATGAAAACGACGAGTAAAAAAACTTTCGCAACATATAATTTTTTCTTTTTCTTTTTTTTGACTTAAGTAAAGTGGAAGATCACAGATAAGTTAATACAGGAAAAGTCGTTATACAGGGTGTCCCAACTATGCATTCATTGTCGGTTATTTAATGAAGTTTATAAGAGCATTTAAAGCGACAATTTATAATTATTTCGAAAGGTTACACACCAAAGTTGTACTTTTTTATGAAAAACCCTATATATTTTTAATTGGATTCTTCATGAAAAAACCGATATCAAATATAAGATGAAATATGGTCATATTTAACAATTCACAGATCAACTAACTTTAAAGATGGAGGTTTCTTATAAAGTACAGGGTGTCCTGTTATACTAATAGAAGGAAACCGACGATTTGCAGATTTAGTCTCCCTATCTAAAATCATTTAAATTCAGTTTTCATACATTCGTCAAGGCAAGGTGACCAAAAGTTTTTTGAAAGTTTCAGATCGCCATCTTTAAATATGGTGGACTTTTTAACTTTTTTTAAGTACAAAAAATAAATATCTTGAAAATGATGATTAAAGAACTATTGTATATTTTTTTTCTTTTTCTTTCTTTTTGACTTAAGTAAACGGGATGATCACAGATAAGTTAGTACAGGAAAAGTTGTTATACAGGGTGTTTCACAACGGTCTAGTACCGATAGATTAAGCTAGATTATGCATTCATCGTAAATTTATTGAATGAATTTTGCGAGAGTATTTAAAGCTACAATTTGTAATTATTTTGAAAGGTGACACAACAAAGTTGTACTTTTTTTATGAAAAACCTTATATATTTTTAATTGTTTTGGAAGTTTCAGATTGCCATCTTTAAAAATGGCCCACTTGAGAATGTCTAAATATAATCTTTTTTTACATCAAAATTCAACTATTTTGAAAATATCGACCAAAAAAATCTTGCATAGTACCTATAATTTTTTCATATTCTTGCTTTTTGACTTAACTAATTTGGAAAATTACAGATAATTTAGTACAGCAAAAGTTGCTACACAGGGTGTCCCAACAGTAGATTAAGCGAGATTATGCCCTTATCGTGGGTTACGGAAATAATTTTTCAAAAGCATTCAAAGCTACAGTTTACTACTATTTTTAAAGATATGTTTTTAATGAAACACTCTATATATTTTTTATGTAGAATCTTTACGAAAAAATGAAAAACGATATCAGAAGTAAGACGAAAAAATGATCATATACAAAAATTCACAGTTCTACTAATTTTAAACATGGAGGTTTTTTGTAAAATACAGGGTGTCCCTTTTAAATATTATGAAAAACCCGACAATTTGACAATTTAATCACCTCATCTTAAATTATTTCACTCAATTTTTGTACGATTATTTAGGCAAAGTAATTAGACATGTCTTTTCAAGTTTCAGATCGCCATATTTAAATATGGCGGACTTGAACATTTCTAAAGATGATTTTTTTACGTATAAATTGAACTATCGATTAAAAAATCTCATGTATCGTATATTTTTTACAGAACAAGATTACAGATAACTTAGTACAGAAAAAATATTATACAGGGTGTCTCAACGGTCTGGTACCGGTAGCGGTATATTAAGCGAATTAATTTAATTCAAATTTTGTACGTTTTAAGACACGGTAATTAAAAAATTAAAACTTTTTTTGAAAGTTTCAGATAGCCATCTTAAAATATGGCGGACTTGAGAATGTCTAAATATGATCTTTTTTAACATAAAAATTCAAATATAATGAAAATGGCGAGCAAAAAATTTTCGTAGTATATAACTTTTTCTTTTTCTTTCTTTGTGACTTAAGTAAATTCGAAGATCACAGATAAGTTAGTATAGCAAAAGTTGTTATACAGGGTGTTCCAAGGTAGACTAAGCGAGATTATGCATTCATCATCGATTGTTTAATGAATTTTATGAGAGCATTTAAAGCAACAATTTATAATTATTTCGAAAGCTTACACACCAAAGTTGTACTTTTTTTTATGAAAAACCCTATATATATATTTTGAAGTGGATTTTTCATGAAAAAAAAGGAAAAACCGATATCAGATGTAAAATTGACAGATCTACTAACTTTAAAGATGGCGGTTTCTTATAAAATACAGGGTGTCCTTTTTTAATAATAGAAGGAAACCAACGATTTGCAGATATAATCACCCTATCTAAAATCATTTAATTTCAATTTTCATACATTCGTTGAGGCAAGGTGACCAAAAGTTTTTTGAAAGTTTCAGAACGCCATCTTTAAATATGGCGGACATTTTGTATCACTTTTTTTTCTTTTTGTTTCTTTTTGACTTAAGTAAATTGGAAGATTACAGATAAGTTAGTACAGCAAAAGTTATTATACAGGGTGTTCCAACGGTCTGGTACCGGTAGAATAAGCCAGACTATGCACTCATCGTGAATTTACTCAATGAATTTTGTGAGAGCATTTAAAGCTACAATTTGGAATTATTTTGAAAGGTTACACATTAAAGTTGTAGTTTTTTAATGAAATACCCTATATATTTTTAAATGGAGTCTTAATAAAAAGAAAGAAAACACGACATTAGATGTAAGATGAAAATATATATGGCATATTTAAAAAATTTACAGCTCTTCTAATTTCAGAATGGAGGTTTCTTAAAAATACAGGTGTCCCATTTAAATAATAAAAAAAAACCTATTTTAAATCAATGAACTTCAATTTTTATACGTTCATTAAAGTAATGTAATTACAAAGATTTTTTGAAAGTTTCAGATGGCCATCTTTAAATATGGCGGACTGGAGAATTTCTAAATACGATCTTTTTTTTACGTAATATCTGGAAAAACTTAGTACAGTACAAGTTGTTATACAGGATGTATCAAAGATCTGGTGGTATTAGATTAAGCCAGATTATGCATTTAACGTGTAAATTTAATTTGTAATTATTTTGAAAGCGTACACTCTAAGGTTGTACTTATCTTAATGAAATACCCTATGGATTTTTTATAAAAAAAAATAAAGAAAAACGATATCAGATGTAAGATGGTCATTAAAACTTCACAGATCTACTAATTTGAAAGATGGGGGTTTATTATAAAATACAGGGTGTTCCATTTACTTAATATCAGGAAATGCATATTTAATCATCCTATCTTAAATCATTTAACTTCCATTTTTATACATCCGTCCATGTAAGGTAACTAAAAATTTTTTGGGTTTAAAATTCCTTTATGTTATGACCCAACGTATGGGGTCCTTAGTGATTTCGCCGTTTCGTTCGGTCCCCCGGTATTTATATTCTTACCATGAACCCGCCACCACGACCCACGCTTTCGCTTCTTTCGCCCGCCAAACAGCCCAATCTGACCTTGATATTCAAATCCAGCACCCCATCGCACCCAAAACCGCCCCATCCCGACCACCAAACCGTCCAGCCGCCTCCCGGCCCCACGCGGCACGCATCCCATGCGAATCTCATCCACAGGTGCGGCAGAGATGTTTCGCATTATTTACCTACTTACTGGTTCAAAATAGGCGAGAAGACGGGGCGAGATGGAATAACTGTACAGAGCCGTGTCTGGGTCAGGAGGCGGTCTTCCGTTTGTTTGGTGGGGCCCCTGTTCGGCGCTCCGCATGGTGTATAGTGGTAGTCCACGAGACAGGTGGATTCCATTCTTGGTCCGAACGAGCATCGCGTTAGCTGGTGTGGTTTTTAGTGTGCGCGCCAACCCTTTAACTAGTTCAGTGTGACGGAACGGCTCTCCTAGAGCAGGATTACCTTTCGAGGGGCTGTCGCGCCGACAACAGGTAGGAGTTCGCGCCAAGAGACATAACCTCACAAAGGGGGCCCTTTTGACAATTTTGAAACTTCACCACCAAAAAAGTAACAAACCTTTTGTCGAGTTCAAGTAACACTTGAAACAGCGAGAAATTGCGGTTACCACGAAAATTAGCACCCTAGTGCGAAAAAGTCCCTTTTTGGCCAAGATCAAATGGTGTCACGATGGACCATGGGAAGTTAGAATAGAGGGATTGTTTTTGGGCCAAGTTTGAACAAAGGGTTTGCCTGTGGTAAAGCAGGACATACAGTCCTTGACATTGGCCCAGAGCGAGCCTAAGGCTGTAAGAAGCAGCCGACTGGCTCATTAACATTTGTGAACGGCGTGCTGGCGGCACAGCGTCTGCTCTTCTCGTGGCTCACTCGGCCAGCAGGTCATGTCATGTCAGGGTCAATCCTGCTGGATGCACCATTATGTGCAAGCAGGAAAGTTCCCAAGTCTCGAGTGTCTAAATCTGGGACAAAAGTTTGCCAGAATTAGGGACCAAACTTTTCAAAATTTATGGTTACTTTAGTGTCTCGTTCTCTTATCAGTGAAATTAGAGCCAACTCTGACTCACAATGTTTTCGACCGTATTTATTTATTTTGAAAGTGATTCCAAGATACCATATTCTAAAAATAACTCGAATCCAGTTTACTCTATATCTGTAAACAAATCAGTATTTGCTTTGGCGGCACAAAACACGAAAACACTCACTCAGATCCGAATTCTTCGCATTCAAAAACATTCGGTAATGAAAACCCAAATACTTAACCCGTGCTTTTCGCAAAAATAAAATTTCTGTGTCGAGCTCCACTATCACGATTAATAGTAGCCAAGTAAACACAAATTAGTTGTGTTTTAACCTTAATCTACAACTTCGATACAGTTAGAAAAACATTTTACGCTAAATTACTTAGAGTGAAAACACTTAACGGAAAGCAAACGTGTTCTATAAATAAGCCCACCTATTTTTTTTTCTAGCAACGCGCGTAAAATAAAGCTGCGGACCACAAAGCAGACACGTAACGATTTACACAACTTACGTGGGAACCGCCTAATTAGGACGTCCAAACACACGTAAACAAATAATTATTTATCAAAAGCAACCATCTCCAAATGGTGAAAGGTTAAAAGGTAATTAAACCAACAAAAGTGTTAAGAATTACGGCTTATGACGTGAGAGGCTTAATTTATGGGAATTACTCTAATTTCGGAAGTAACGGGACTTCGTGGCTAATTGCGCCGGAAGTGACCCCAACATGTGGTTTCAGGCACCTGCAACTCGTAAGACGAGTTCGCCCCCTTTGTTGGAAAAATGTCGAGTTATTTTCTAAGCACGCGACAACTGACACCTAATCTTAATTATCCTGTTTATTTAAATATTAGTCGTGGTGTTGCATATTTATGTTGGTCGAGTTAGAGATATCCTGACAAAAAGCAATCGGATTAATCATGGTACAGCGACGCTGGTACGGTTAGATCGTTGAAACTGGAAGACTTGTTCCGTTTTTACCGGGAATTGGCGGGATTGTGGGACAGTGAGACGCAGAGACCTCCAGTGGGGAACATTATTATTATTTATCGTATAATTTTTAGCCCAAAATATTTCTAAATTTCCTATGATAATGTTATGAATTTATAATTAATTGATATAGATTAACTTTCGTCAACAATGCTCGAATAACCTCCCTGGTAAAGATCCTCGTCAATTTGTAATAAACGATACTTTCTACTTTCAAATTTGTATAAAACTCAGGCATTTCTGGAAAGGGTTTTTCGTCAAAATTATTGCTTAAAGATAAAACAATTTCATAGTGTACTTTTATGTTTTTTCGACGTTTCATGGCCCCTCGAGAATGAAAAAATAGCTCTACGTCTGTTGGTTGAATGCCGTCATCGCAAAATTTTGCATGGTAAACACTATTTAAATTTTATAAAATAATTAGCAACTACTAGCCCCACCCACCCGCCCTCTATCTTCTTGGAAAATATGTCATTTGCTTAAACACCCTGAGATTCTTTTTCACCAAAAATGTGAAAAATTTTGTTCTTTAGTGAATTGTAGATTTTTTTTTTGAAAAAGCGTAAAGTATACATTAATAGTACAATTTTCGTCGTATTTGTGAAATATAAAGGAAAAGTTTCCCCCTTAGATTTTGAACGATTCCCGTCTCTTGCATTAATCGCACCTATAAAAATCTAAACGAACTAATCAACGTTAGAAATAAAAACAAAAATAGCAACATGAGAGTTCACGATCTTCATTAAATTTCAATATTGTGAAAAATGTAGGACTGTCTTAATATAACCGGCAATTTTCAGATAGATTTCCAGCGACTCCCTTCTGCTGCTTTAATCGGAGCTACAGAACCCTCAACAAGCTTATCTACGTAAGAAATAAAAACAAAAATGGCAACATTAAAGATAATCATTTACGATTTATTAAACAATATTGTCGAATGTAACCAGTTACAGTTTGCAGCGATTCCCCTCTTCCTAATTGACAAACTTATAGGTGCATTATTCTTTTTTAATTTATGAAACAATATTTGTTTTAATTTTTATTTTCGCCTCCTTAAATATTTTGATGGAATCTCTCTTCGGGAATCTCCTGATTTTCACTAAAAATAGGACAAATTGTAATCAATAGTGTTATTGTATACTAGTTTTTTTTTAACAAAGTGTAGATTATACTTTAATGGTATAATTTTAATAGCATTTCTGAGAGATAAAAGAAAAGTTTTGCTCCTAGATTTTCAGCGATTCCCGTCTCTTGCAATAATCGCACCTACAGAAATCTAAACGAACTTATCAACGTTAGAAACAAAAACAAAAATAACAACATGAGAGTTCACATTTTCATTAAATTTAAATATTACGAAAAATGTAGTACTGCCTTAAAAAAACGGGAATTTTTCACTTAGATTTGCAGCGATTCCCTTCTGCTACACTAATCGGACTTACCGAACCTTAAACAAGCTTATCTACGTAATAAATAAAACCAAAAATCGCAACGTAAAGGTTGATTATCTTTCAGAATTTATTAAAGAAAATTATTTGATACACTCTGTCTTTGGGATTCCCCTGATTTTCGTTAATATAAGAAAAATTGTAATTATTAGTATTATTATGTACCAGTTTTTTTGACAAAGTGTGGAGTATACTGTAATGGTATGATTTTAGTGGTATTTGTGTGATATAAAATGACAGTTTTTTCCTAGATTTTAAGCGTCTCTTGCACTACCCGTACTTACAGAAATCTAAATGAACTTATCAAAGGTAGAAATAAAAACAAAAATAGCAACATGAAAGTTCACAATTTTCATTAAATTTAAATATTTTAAAAAATAACGGGAAGTTTTTACTTAGATTTTTTACGACTCCCTTCTGCTGCACCAATCGGACCTATAAAAACCCTAAACTAGTTTGTCTACGTAACAAAAGTATCTGATTGGTTATAGTTTGCAGCGCTTCCCCTCTTCCTAAATAACAAACTTACATTTTATCCGTTTTTTTTTTAATTAATATATGCCATCTTAACTCGTAAACTCAGGTAAAAACATGTATTTTAATTTTGATTTTTTTTCCTTTAAGTACTAGCCCCACCCACCCGCCCTCTATCTTCTTGGAAAATATGTCATTTGCCAAAATCGTTATTATCTTAACAAGTACTAGCCCCGCCCACCCGCCCTCTATTTTCTTGGAATATATGTCATTTGCCAAAATCAGTCTTATCTTACCAAATACTAGCACCGCCCACCCACCTTCTCATTCTAACTACAATTTTTTTTTCTGTTCAGTATAAGACCATTTATTTCATTCAGTGTGCATAAAATCATTCACTGAAAAAGAGACAGGGTGGGTGGGCGGGGCTATTTATGTTCTTCTATCGAGTGGGAGTGGAAACTAATAATGGAACAATGGAACAAAAATTAATAGTAATTTCTTTTTTTATCTACAAAATTTTTATATGGAGCTATTTTGACAAAACTCTAAAAACGACTAATTTTTTTTTCTGTTCAGTATAAGATCATTCATTTCATTCAGATCGGATAAAATCAATCACTGAAAAAGAAACATGGTGGGTGGGCGGGGCAATTATGTTCTTCTTTTGAGTGGGAATGGAAACTAATTCTAGAATCTAGGATGTGAAAAAGTAAAAAAAAGCCCTAATCGTAAGATTTGTTTGTTAAAATCACCCTTGTCTTATCAAGTACTAGCACCACCCACCCGCCCTCTATCTTCTTGGAAAATATGTCATTTGCCAAAATCGTTATTATCTTAACAAGTAGTAGCCCCGCCCACCCGCCCTCTATTTTCTTGGAATATATGTCATTTGCCAAAATCAGTCTTATCCTACCAAGTACTAGCACCGCCCATCCACCTTCTTCCCATTCTAACTACAAATTTTCTTTCTGTTCAGTATAAGATAATTTATTTCATTCAGTTTGCATAAAATCATTCACTGAAAAGAGACAGGGTGGGTGCGCGGGGCTATTTATGTTCTTCTGTCGAGTGGGAGTGGAAACTAATAATGGAACAATGGAACAAAAATTAATAATAATTTCTTTTTTTATCTACAAAATTTTTATATGGAGCTATTATGACAAAACTCTAAAAACGACTAATTTTATTTCTGTTTAGTATAAGATCATTCATTTCATTCAGATCGGATAAAATCAATCACTGAAAAAGAGACATGGTGGGTGGGCGGGGCTAATTATGTTCTTCTTTTGAGCGGGAATGGAAACTAATTCTAGAATCTAGGATGTGAAAAAGTAAAAAAAAGCTCCAATCGTAAGATTTTTTTGTTAAAGTCACCCTTAGCTTATCAAGTACTAGCCCCACCCACCCGCCCTCTATCTTCTTGGAAAATATGTCATTTGCCTAAACACTCTGAGATTCTTTTTCACCAAAAATGTAAAAAAATTTGTTCCCTGGTGAATTGTAGATTTTTTTTTTGAAAAAGCATAAAGTATACTTTA